TGTGTTATGAAACTATATAAATTTAGAAGAAGAAGAAGAAAGTAGGGAGAAGAGAAAAGACTTCTTATTTCTCTTGAAGTATATTCAGGATTCAAAGATCTTTTACAAATCTTGTTTACAATGAATGAGAACCCTTTATTTATAGGGAAAACCTTACTTGGTCCCTAACCATATCCTACAAGGACTCCACATAATTAGACATTCACTATAATACAAATTGTTTATAACAATAACCATGTTTTTATTATAGCAAAAGTCATAGGAAGTGTACATTGATTATATAATATAGTTTGTCAAAAATCATAAAATGTATACATTGACTATACCATATAACTTACTTATATGTGAGTTATACATTGACTAAACATTAAGATACGCTCAAAAAGCTGAATATAGTTTAACTATACATGAGATATACTCTGGCAAAATCAATCTCGACCAATTACGAATGACATCTAAATAATCTCCAAATTTAGATATGAAATTCTCTTTAATATTCTGAGTCTTTTAATATATAATTTGTTCAAAACGATTCACATTTTCGATATATTAATTTTTTTTATATATTATTTTTAAAAAATAGCCAAAGAAGAAGAATGACGAAGCAGAACAACAAGAAAAAGAATGTAGACGAAGAAGCAGCAACCACCATTAATAGCAAAGTTAAAAGGACAGGGACATTCAGTGGCGAAGCCACCTGAATTCTTCGAAGGAAAATTATATTATTTATACATGGTTAAAATAATTTTTTTTAGGTATATATATAGTACTATAGTAGATGTCGATCTTCTACTATTTCGTATGTCTTATTTCTTCAAATTTTAAACTCCGTTATTGAAAATTCTGGTTCCGCCACCAACGACATTCCAACACTAAAAGTAGCGGCTAGTGTGATGTTTAAACCAAAATGGCGGGGGAAAAAATGTTCCTTTTAGCAAGGGATTTGGCCTCTCTTAGCTAAATTCATTGAAGAATAATGTTTCATTTTTACCAAGGCTTTTGCACCTCGTGAATTTTGAACTAGTGAGTAATTTAGAGAGCATTAGTTCTTCACATATTCACAATTTTATAGCTAGTTTCATCCGCCTTTCTTTTTTCTTCATGAATTGGAGCGAAAGAGTTGAATCTCAGTGGATTATGATACCAGTCATCTAAAAGAATATGCAATAATTAATCAATTTCAGCTATGTCGAGTAGTTTTCTTCGTTGTATAAGAAACATCAAATGTAACTCAATTGCCGCTAAAAGAAAAATTTTGTCACTAAATATCTCTTTGTTATAGTGTATCATGTTTCTTTATTTGTTACTCCATCCTCGTTTGACACTTATTTATTAAAATCCATTAAATTAAATGACTTTTTATATTTCATAATGAATTTCTTTTATAGTTACACAAATCTTATCATAAATTTTAAAAGTCTTATAGATATACAAATGCAATGACATATTTCAAGACAATAATTTTAATTTTTTAATTTCTTAAGTTAAACTTTGTTATCTAGTCAAATTAATAACCTATTAACCACACAAAGGAGCCCTATGCGACATGCTCAACTTAAAAAACCTTGAGGAAGGAGGGGTTGATACCCGATCGTTCATATATATGGAATTGGGGATTTGGTCAGGAATTGTGGATAACTATTTTCTAAATAAATTGAGTCATCCCGAAGAACGTATGTATTGCTAATATCCAGATTCCAAAATTTTTTTATAACTAATTATTTTTAAAAAGGGAAGGTAAACAACGAAATGGCCAAATATGTGCTTTTCGTAAAAATCAAAACCCGTTGTTTCTAGCAAAAGTCAAAATGATGATGTAGTTGACAATTGAAATTTGGTAAGAAATTTTAAAATCTTGTTGTCAATTTCAAGACTAAGCAATAGGTGAACGTGCAATTTTTTTTTAAAGAAATTCAACAAATAAAAAGAATATTAAAAGCAAATAATGTACTACATAAGTCACATTCATTTTTCTTTATATAAAAAAAAATTATATAACTAAGTCAAAACAAGTATACCAATTTCGATAAATCAAATAATTCTAACAAACACAATAAATCTTTCCTTTTGTATCCTTTCGAAATGATAGTTTTCCAAAGGAATGTACAATACTTGTAAACTCGAAAAAAAGATCAAAGAAAAAAAATGACACGTTATGAACATGCTTAGCTTGTCGTTCCAAACAAGACAAGTCTTAACAATATGGTTGAAAGTGCCATACTTTCACCATTAATTTATGGGTTCAATTCCTCTTGAGACCCATAAAAAGTGAAGCAAAAAAACAAAAAAATGTATCAAAACCATGTATATCTCTAGAGAAAAATAAAACAATCCAAGGCAATAAGAGGATTATTAATATCCTCCATGAGTAATGAGTCCAAATCTTGATCATTTGACTTCACTTCTTCTCCAATTTCCATTTCATCAATCTTTGGAGAAATTGGAAAAACATTATTTCTAATTTTTCCTTCATTTTTTGGAGTGAAATGATTCTCTCTTCTTAGAGATGATGATCTTGATATAACACTTCCATTGTTACCTTTTGAAGCTATTGATTTTCTAAATGAGTTCTCCTTCATGTCACCATTCGAATTTGGAGGAAATCTTCGACTTGGAGATGGTGATTTTAGGGTTGTTCTAGTACTAGGAAAATGATGATAGGTGGAGGTAATACTTGAAGTATTATTATTACCAATGTTACCTCCTTTGATCATGAGTTGTTGATCATGTTCTTTTCTAAAACTCTTTTGTCTAACCATGATTGGTGAATTGGCACGTGGCCTTTTCTTAGGGGTCGTTGTTGAATTGCACTCTCTTCGAGGACTTGGTGGTTTGGACAGAGTGGTTGATGATGATGATGATGGTGATCGCGTATATTTCTTGCCAATTGTAGACATGGTTGATGTAGTTTGATGACTAACTTGGTTTTTCTTGATGTCAAGTATATGGTCATGTTCTCGTGCACAAGACAATAAGAAATCATTCGAGAAAGAACGATCCTTGAAATAAGAGGAGGAAGAGGAGGAAGATGACGATGACAAAGATGAAGATAACGTAACATTGGTTGCAGTAGAGGAAAACGATGAAAGAGATACTGAACAAGAAGAAGAAGACGAAGAAGGAGAAGAAGATATAAGTTTTCGAGGTGGTTGAATAGTTGAAGAAGGAACATGGATTTTTGGTGATAGGGGAGCTTGTGATATCACAAGTTTATCTTTAACACATTCATGATGTTGATCATCATCATCTTCTTGACTATTTTTTTGGGGATTGCATTTACTAATGCAAGAACCCATAGTGAGGGAGGGAATTAAGGAGAGTTAGATAGGAAAATGTTTGAATGATAACGTTGAGAAGTCTTTTATAAGAATTAAAAACTATATATTATATGAATGTTGAAAGAATAGTTCAATATTGGGAAGGAGGGATAAAAAGTGTAAAGTGGAATAAGCTTTTTTGCTTTATTAACCAAATATTTGAATTATGTAGCCCGGTATAACATATGGATCCGTTATATAACGGTTATATGTAGCAACACAATCATAGTTTATTTCACTTTCTTTTTCTACCTTTTGTAACGTGCAAGTGAAAACCTTAGCCAAGTGTTCCTTTTTACCTTTTTCTCTTTGCATATAAGTAGTATTAGTATTAGTCTCCTGGTTTTTTTCCCGACGATTTGTATTACTATCTGTTATTTTTTTATCGGTTATTGTATTAACTTGTTGGTGTTTATGTTTTTTTTTCTTTTCTGAATGCTATGTAATGTTTTCTCTGCTATATATTTAAAGGGTGATATAATAAAATCACCCTTTTATTTATAGATTGTTAAGAAATGTGTCAAATCTATCGTGAACAACTATTTTTGAACATAGAGGGAGTAGTTTGTACATAGGACATAGGAATAGGGGTATAGGAGGATGTTAAAAAAATTCAAAGAATTTTGAAATTCTTTTTTTAATTTTTCATTCACAAATCTTATATAGGAGTATTTTAAAGGTGTCATATTATTTTCCAAAATCTACAGGTCAATTCCTTGAGAGCCCAACATCTATTTACATATAACCACACTTGAATTGCATTAATTATATAACGTGCTCTAAGGTCTTAATAGTTTGACTTAGAGAAATAATTAATAAAGTTGAAGAAATATTATGAAAGATTTAAGAACCTTACTTAATTTTAGTAAGGTTACCACAATATAAATTTAGGGGACAATTTGAAAATAATCAAGAGGATAGTAGAAAGTGATATTTTATTAATGTCTTAAATATTTTTTTACTATGTGTGACATACCTCCAATAATTCATATGGACTAGAGTCATTTCAATTTATAATAAAATTAATTATTTTTCTCATTTTATTTTTAATAATACATAATTATTATTAAAAATTATAAATACCAAACTAAGGTAAATGCACTTTCTTTAATCTTTATTAAGCGAATTGTTGAGATTTGACGCACTCCTTCCTAAGAGAAATATTTAAAGACAAATGAAATACTACTTTCAACCATTAACCCTTTTGATTATTTTCAAACTATTTAACTAAAAAAATGTGAAGTAATTAATAACACTATTCAATGATTTATGACAAAATTAATTATTTAAAATAAATGATGTAAATAATCTTTTATTTATGATTTATATGCTAATTATTTTTAAAAATAAAGATATTTTCACTTAATATGGACTAGGGTCATCAATTTATGAAAAAATTAATTATTATTTTTCTTATCTTATCTTTAATAGTAATTATGTTTTAACTAGAGCTATCTAATTTTTTCATTTGACAAAATTATTTTGAGCTCAACCCTTAAAATTATTGTACCAATTAAGTTCAAAGGCAGAGTCAGAATTTTTAAGCGGGTTCAAAATCTGTAAAAATAGATACATGAAGTAGCCGAAAGGGATTCGACATAACAGTATATATACATATAAAATTATTTTAATCATTTATAGGGGGTTCGGATGAAACCCTTCCTACGAGGTAGCTTTGCCCCTGATTAGGTTACTAGATTACTTAATTTGGCTACATCCCTAGAACCACCCATAAATTCTTAGCAAGGAAAAGCATAGCATCAACCATGTCCAATCTGCATAGATTGATGTACTACAAATATTGTATTGAACTGAAATTCAAAAGAAATCTTGAAAGAGAGAAACCAAATTAATGTGTCTTCAATTTTTAATGCAAGTTATTGAAGAAATCAAATTGAATTTCAGTAATATAAGCATGGGGTTCAAGTTATAGATGATTGTATCTATAGACAAACTTTAGAAGTTGAAAGGATTTCGAAATATTCTATGTTTTCCTCTAAACACAAAAGTGGGTTCCTTGTAACAAACATTATAAAAAATATTCATAATAAATGGTTCTCCGTGATTTGATAGTGCTGAGTTAAGATTTTTGAAACTTATTTAAGAAAAATGTTTTTTAATCCAATTTGAATAAATCTGTTTATTAGTGGGGTTTGCGAAATATGGATAGACTCGGTCTATGAATCAAATAAAAATTAATTAAAAGATAAAAATAAAATAAAGTATTAAAAAGAAGAAAGAGTCCAAACTCAAAATCTATTTAAAGTTTTAATATATAAATTTAAATACAAATTATATTTATAAAATATGTACTACATAAAATAAAATTTCCTAAAATTTTTAGGGAATCATTACGTAGTTAACCTATGAAATATCGTCTTTTTTTTTTTTATGATCACTAGAAAATAATTAAGTTAATATTTTTATTTAGCTATTTATACTTTTATTTGAAATCGAACTCAATAAATATTTCAAAGATAATTTTATTCGTGGATTTAATTAACATAACACCAACACCATCATAAAAAAAATATGAGTATTTTTTGAAAAAAGAATAGATTGGCCCGGCCAGAACCCTTATCAGTTTCTATATATTTTTTCTTTATTTTATAATATATAAATTTACATCGTTGCAATATATAATAACAGGGCTAACAAATACAAATTATAAAAAAAAAGATGAACAAATACTTATAAATATTATTATATAAATAAGGAAGAAAAGGAAAACCAGTCCTTTATTAACGTTTGATTATGGTTTCAAAATTATTCAATATTTATAATTTGATATTAAAATTAACAAAAAGTATCTCAACTAAAACATAAAAGAATTTCATAATTTATTTACAGAGTATTATATTGCCTCAATTTAAGTTTCAAAAAAAAATTTATAATAATTGGAATTCAAACGTTCTGTCAATTATTATTATTTTTTTGAGGGTTTTACATGTGCAATTTCAATCCAGGTATATATTTTTCTATTTTTTTAGTAAAAAAAATATTTATTAAAAGTACTAGTTAGTCATTATATATTGGATTATTTACACGGTTATCACTAGGTGATTTATATGAGTATGGTTTATACTTGTGTGCGCTTATAAAATTCAACTATTTCATTATGAATGAATATGTGATTATAAATACCACTGAAATTAAAATTTAATGTTGATATCAATCTTGTTGTATTACTTTTGGTGGGGAGCAGATAGAATATTTGACTTTAAGGAGATATTTTTATTATTTTCCATTAAAAATATATGGTAGATAATTTTCAAATTTTTATCCAACTTACTTTTCACGACTTTGAAAAAAATGGCACGATGTGATATGTTACAAATCAAATTGAAGAAAATAATGGGTTTTAAGGAAAAATTACGCGGATAAGCAAATTTATACTATTTAATTACTCAATATAGCAATGGTTTGCTATAATTATCACTTGCAACTAACATATATTAATTATGTGGGTTGACTTTAAGTTTGTATAATTAGTTATGTTTGTACATGTATAATTCGTCAGGATATACAAATAAATATGTATAATATACAGTTTTTTTAGCCTATATACATATACAATTCACCTCTCTCTCACTCTCTGCCTTCTCTCGCTCGCATCTAACCTTCCTCTCTCAATCTCGCTTGCCATTTATACAAATGTATATGTATAATATATAGTTACATACAATTATATACATATACAATTCACCTCTCTGCCCTTTCTCGCTTGCCTCTCTCCTCCCTCTCTCGATCTCGCTCGCTTCTCTCCTTTCTCTCCCAGTCTCGTTCGCCTCTCTCCTCTCTCCTCTCTCTCCCAATCTCTCTTGTCATATATACAATTACATATGTATAATATATAATTATCTAACCAATATATATATATATACACACACATTTCTCCCACTCTTTTCCCCCTCTCTCTCGCCTCTCTTCTCTCTCTCCCAGTATCGCTCGCCTCTCTCCTTCATATAACATGTAGCTACAAATTGTAATTATCAAACTATAACTAGAGAGAGTAATTAATTTTTTAAAAATGGCTATATGTGAAAGTTTCACTTTTTTAAACAATTCGCCAAATAAATGATTTTTCATACTTAATTGTGTTAGTCAAATAACTAGTATTTCATGAACGAATAAGTTCAAAGCGCAAATATGAATTTTTTAGGCTGTCGTTTTCAATTTATTATCTCTTTTTGTGTACATCTTTGTCATTTTTCTCTCTTTTAGAGTTTTATTCTCTCTTTAGAAATTAATTTCAAATTACAACCATGAATCTTCCTTTATAAATAACTTTGAATCCCACTTTTTTTTCCTATTCGACAATACTTGTCAATTATTGACTTTACATACTTTATAAGAAATTATAAATAAAATAATAGTTTTACTATATCACCTTTGATTATAATAAATAAGAAAAAGGGTCAAATATACTCCTAAACTTTTCAAAAAAGTCTAGATACGCCATCCGTTTAAAGTTTGGTCCATTTCTACCCTCATCGTCCAACTTTTCGTCTAAATATGCTTTAATGGGTGCTAGTTGGCCAACTCAAAATATCCAACTAATTTTGCTTTTCTTTAAATGTCAAATGAATTTTCCACATCATTTTTATATTACCACTTGACATTTAATTTTAAAATAGAATGGATCAAACATGCCCCTAAATTGTTTTGACTCAATTTTAAAATATCCATAAATCACCCCTCTTTTAAATGACCCGAACCGTATCAAAACCCTTCTTCCATATCTTATCCGACCCAAAACCCATCCCTTTTAACCCATTATCAAATCCCTAGTTTGTTAACTTCTCCATTTTCATTGAAAATAGCACGATTTCATTTTCGTAGAAAATAGTCCTTCATTATGAATGTTTAGGGGCATATTTGATTCTTTTTCCTAATAAATATAATGTCTTGAAAAATGTAACAGAGAAATGACTATAATTAATGATAATAGTAAATTAGAAACGAAGTGTAAAATTATTCACTGATTTCATAATGAACAAATGTTGTTGGACATCTCAAAATAATACTCCCTCCATCCACTTTTATTTATTGCGCTTTTCGAAAATCAATTTGACTAATTTTCAAAGTTAAATTAAATTACATTAATTCGATATTTTAAGCAAAAAAATTAAATATTCAAAAACTATATGAAAAGTAGTATAAATTGCAATCTTTTTGCATATCAATATGATGAAAAAATACATCTTAAAGTATTAGTCAAAATTCTTATAGTTTAACTGTAAAAAATGAAATCATGACAAATAATAATGGACAGAGGGAGTATAGTAGACAACTATTTTTTAACAGACGAAATATTTTATTAGGGGTAGGGAAGGGGAAATAGGAGGGAATTACAATGCGGAAAATCGGACCCTCACAAGCAAAGTGAAAGTTCTAGCCAACCAACCAAGAAAATTGATGGTGACGTATTTTTTCTCAAAAATATCTAGGGCTTTAGTTTTTTTTTTATTTGTTTATTTATTTATTTTAATCTCTTCTAAGAGCTCCCACCCCTTTTGCTCCCTTAGTGACTCGAATTCGCAACCTTCGAATTGAAAGTGAGGAATACTTACTATCCGAGCAATTCCTTCTCGTCGATTCTTTATTTTATAGTTGGGAGTAAGAGTTTTTATAAATTTATCATCGTAAATTCAATGGGTTAGACTTAAAGAACAATTCATTCAAAAAAATTTGTCAAGAATCAGAATAGTAACCTTTATTTTTCATTTTCACAACACTAATATAACTTCTTTATGCATTCTATGATATTATTCACTTCCATCACAAAGTAAATTACATAAATTGAAAATGAGTAACATATCAGGTGTAAATTACGTATAAAAATACTATAGATTATAATATTAAAAACTAATATATTTATAAAAATATTATAAGTTGACTCTAAATTCTATTTATATTATATATAATAATTTTCAAGAAAATTATACTTATTATACGATCATTAGTAATATAGCATTAAATCAATTCTTATGTGCGGAAAATCTGAATATTAAAAACAGATCAGCTGAGCAAAAACAAATAAAGAAGATTCATATCATTGCATACATAATATATTTTTAATACATAATTTTTTTATTATAGTATTAGTATATATTGTTATAAATATCTATAATAATAAGCACAGAACGTCGCTGAAGTCAATAATTTTTTATTAAAAGATATTCTATCAAATAATTTTCCTTCCATCGTGTACCTTTTTATTATTGAACAAAAAAAAAAACAATTTCCACGTGTATGGCTTTTTCCTCTTTTATCAACCGAAATAATTGAACTTTCTTATATATGTCCTTTTCCCATTTCGTGTTTCTTTTGTTCACTTTTTATTTGTTTGATTTTTCATTGTGGAAACGATTTGAGAGGAGTTGTTGATATAAATGATTCATATATATTTTGTATTTATTGACAAATTAAAAGAGATTAGTATTCTATTCATACCATCTTTAATATTAAATAGTTATATAAAATTATGTTTTTAATTGAAGTGTTCGATAAAAATGGGTCCAATAGCAGGAAAAATTCTGAAAAATTATATAAATGATAAATTATTGATTCAAAATAAATGTTACAAAGATAGTGTCACTTAATTCTAATTCGTAGTAAATACTTTGCCACTCGTCATTCTCTCCGAATCTCGCTCATCACTCTCCTTCATCTCTCTCATTTTATACAAACAAAAATGTATAAATTGTGTTTGTGTTTGTATAAAGCAAGAGAGAACTGTATATATAAATGCATATTTCTTCGTCATATGCACTTATACAAATACGTATCTTTCACTCTTTAGTTATCGTATGTCTTTCTCTCTTTCTCGCTTTATACAACACAAATTACACAAAGTACCATGTATAATTTGTGTTTGTATAAAACGAGAAAGATATTTGATAAACAAATACAACTGTTTTGACTTGACTCAATTGTATATAGATATACACAGTGACTTGAATTTAAATTTTATATAGATATACACAGTGACAGATCCACAAAATTTATTTATGGATGTTCAATGATTTTTAGTTTGAGAATTGCTGATGCTTAGGTAATACATTTATAAATTATTAGATATTACAAACAAATATTTACAATTTTACGTGAAGCTGATATTTTAAATTGTAGCTATAGAGCATTAATATAATTTTTATGTTTACGGCAAAGATATTCTTTAAAAAAAAAACTAAGACAGAGATATTCTTTTTAAGAAAAGAAAAAGGAGTGAATCATGTGGAAGAGCATATAACACGAGAGATTGTAAGTGCAAGTGAGAGAAATAGGAAGAAAGATTTGGTAAGACACAAAGGTTTCCTTCTCTTCACTCAAATCTTCTCTTCAACCTTTAAATTCTACATTTCTTTCTACTTCTAACACAATGTTAGTATCGTAATTTGTTAACCTAAGCTAAAATTTGGTATCGAAACTTATGTCGATAGCGTCTAGCAAATGATAAATAATGGGAGGCGAATCCAACATTAAAAGTTGCGAGTGAAAGTCAGTTATATTTTTAAAGTTATGAATCATCATGTATTTTGTAGTATTCAAATTCCAGTGCACTAGCAAATGTAGTGGGCACACCACATCTGTATACTCTCTCTATAACTGACTGACAAAATTCAGTTGCTGCAGCAGAGTTTCATGTTTTCTAAATTGTTTTCCAGAGCTAGAAAAATTTTGAAGGTTGAAAATCATGGCGTCTGTAATTGGAGTTCATAACTTTGCTGCTTTGAAGGCTGTTTATGAAAGACCGTCGTTGCGGTGGATTCTGCAACCCAAAATGCAGCTGCCATTTTCAGGTCGGAGAATGAATCTGCAATCTAAGACTTCTGATGAGGTCTCTGGTTCTTCGCTTTTTGCTTATATCTGAATCTGTCATTATATATCTCCAATTTTATTACTATAATTATAATTTTGGACAAAGTTACTTGATAAATATGACCATTTCTATTCCGTTGGATCTGGGCATTTTGACTGAATTCTTGTGGTCTTCAATTATTGTTTTTCTTAATTTTCTAATTAAAGATTGATCTATCGAGAATAGTCTTTCTGCATTCACAAAGTACGGACAAGGTTAGGTATGCTCTACCCTCTCCAGATCTACTTTTATTGGGTACGTTGTTTTCGTTTGATTTTTCGTTGTTTGATTGTGTTTACAGGTTGAAGGTTCACCATTTGATCATAAAGGGTTATTACAGAGTCGAGAATTATATCAGGTCATCTTTTTATCGTCTTTCAAATTCTTCTTCGCAATTTTTTTTTGTTGTTGAATTTACTAATCATCAATTCATTTGAAACATCACCAGTATATTTTGGAGACTAGTGTTTACCCAGGAGAACCCGCGCCTCTTAAAGAGATCAGGGCTATAACAGAAAATCATCCTTATTTTTTTATGGGTGCATCACCTGATTCAGGTCAACTGATAGCCATGCTGTTGGATATGTTAAATGCCAAAAACACAATTGAACTCGGAGTCTTCACCGGTTATTCTCTGCTTCTCACTGCTCTTACAATTCCTGATGATGGCAAGATCCTAGCAATTGACCCGGATCTCAAGTCTTATGAAATGGGCCTGCCAATCATTCAAAAAGCCGGTGTTGAGCATAAGATCAATTTCAAACACTCCCCGGCTTTACCTGTTCTTGACAAACTCCTGGAAGATGATGATAACAAAAGTAGTTTTGATTTTGCATTTGTGGACGCGGATAAGACTAACTACGGAAACTATCACGAGAGACTAATGCAGCTGGTGAAAGTTGGAGGCTTGATAGTGTATGATAACACACTATGGTATGGAACACTTGTGATGCCAGAGGAGAGCGTTCACGAGTTGATGAGATCAGAAAGAAGTTACTTACTGGAGTTAAACAAATCCCTTGCTGCAGATACCCGAAATCAAATTTCTCAAGTTCCATTAGGTGATGGAATGACCATCTGCAGGCGACTCTTTTGAATAACAAAATTAGGTACAACTCGTACTCAAAGTTTCACTTGCAGATGACCATCACTTCAATACCATATTAGCTATTGATTAGAAGTCATATCGCTTGTCAGTAGTTTCATCAAATAATGTTTGATTAATCATCAAAATGAATGAAATTTTCTGGGATGGTTTAGCTAGATGATGTTATGAATAATATGTCAACCTTCGTATGATTATGTGGTATATATGGAAAGAACGTAGATTGAATAAAAATGCTCATCTATTGCTGTTGTCTATGAGCGTATTACTAATTATGTATATGCTAGTGAAATTGTTGAGCTAATTCATGTGTTCTTACACCGTTTACACGAATTTAATTGTATTGAGTTAGGAGTTTGGAGGAAGTTTTTAAATGTGGGATCCAAATTTATCCATTTGTGAAGTAAAGAAGTGTATGAGTTGTCATAACAGACACATAGCAAAATTGGAGGTTTGATAATACACTGTGGCATGGAACACTAGTGATGCCAGAGGAGAGTTGATGAGACCAGAAAGAAGTTACTTACATGAGTTCAACAAATTCCTTGCGGCAGATAACCGAATTCAAATTTCTCTTTTGACGAAAAAATAGGTATAGGTCTTAGTTGAAGGTGTTTGAAATGAAAATTTTCAAGCAACTTTTAAGTGTCTGTCAATGCTAAGGCAAATAATCCTAATAAAGTTGTGGTATGTTTGTCTACGAAGCAATTAGGCGAGACATGTTAGGAATTACGTTTGCTAGAAATATTCGTGTAAATAAGATAGGACTACTATACGACACTTAGCTAGTGCTTTAGGAATTACTTTACGGTGCTAGAGACACATTTATCATGTAATGACTCTATTTAGCTAATACTGTAAGAGGTCGTTTGGTAGAGTTTCCCATTTATCTTGTAAAATGACTATGTTTGGCTAATTCTACAAGTCTCACTACAAAATTGTGCAGCATAAAACAAGGGCTAAACTTGAACTAAATTATTGGGTTACGAATCTCTTATTGCAACCTTTCTGGGCATTTTACTGTTAGAATAATTAGAGGTGGAGTCTACTTGTCGTCAAACTTATTCAGAGGACAAGTAGAGCTATTATTGAAGATCGTAGATGTTTGTTGAATGTCAAAAATATTTTTATCAAACACGTCTAGAGAAAAACAAACCAATGAGCTAATTTGTTGGTAAATTTGGGCACAAGTATGATGAAACTTTGATAATATCGAGAAATTCTCTAAACTATGATTCAAATTTTAGAGACATACCTAGATTTCAGTTATAGTTTAGGAGATATTTTTCTCTTCTCCCAAATTGTAAATCTTTCTAAGTCTTTTCCATTGTAAAAGAGTGAGTTAATACTAGATACTAGATAATTTGACATTAAATCAACTCTTGGCTAGCGTTTGGTCATAGATTTTTAAATATTCTTGGCAAATATTATTTGGGTGAAAATTTGGATGAAATTTCAACATATGTTTGACTATAGTATTTGAAAAATATATGTCACTTTTTTTTAGAAAAATATGATTTATACCCATAAGTTTTGAAAATATCAAAACTAACCATAAGTTTGTATTACAAGTCAATTGGATCTTTGTTACAACAATAACAAATAATGTCCATGACACTAGAGCAATGTGGTAATTTGGAGTGAGTGCAACAAACATCATTTCATACATCGTGAAGTAGACAAAACACATGACTTCGTTATCGTGAGCCAATGGTTCATCATTTTCATCAATAATCATATTATCATTTCATATTCACCGAATATTTCATCACTATTTTGAAATTAATGTAAAAAATTATGTAATACAACGCAAGCAACAACTATAAAGAGTGTTTTTGTAAAAGATAAAAGTTGGGGTAAACTTTCAATTTTTAAAAGATTCCAAATAATGAGATTTAGCCCAACTACTAGGAAAAAACTAGTATTTGGAAAATAAAAATATTTGCCAAATAATAACAAAATGTATGAACAAAAACTGTTTGTCAAGTTTTTTCCCAAATATTATTTGAAAAATTTATGGCCAAACGGGCCTTAATCTTTTTACATTTTGTTTATAATTTCCAAAAATGTATGGTGTAAACCTAAAACATTAAAAACGTGTCAATTGAGCAAAGCTAAAGAAGACAAAATTATGCATCCACTTGCTTCTTTTTTCAAGTTCAAATTTAATAGTAGTACAATTGAGCATGCTCTCTATTGGGACCAGTCTGTCTGTAACTTTTTTCAAAACCATGTGCTTCACTAGTAATCATTTCATCCCAACTCTTGCATTTTAGCTTTACTTGTTATGTTCTTTGACCTTCCTCATAAAGCAATTATGTATGTTTCTTTCAATTTTTTAAGTAAGCTACAAGATGAAAATAATAGTCTAATTTTCTCATATAACACTCAACAAAATCAGCAAGGAAATATGATGTCTTACTGAGGTAACAACTTATCCATTGTTCCTTCTATAGTTATTTTTACATTTTTTTTCAATAATTTTGCTCTTTACCAATGTTCTTATACCAAAATCAAGTCTTCCTTTCAAATAAATAAGCAACTCTATAATACTTCAAGAACTTAAATAGTTCAATAGATGAGGAGTTGGACAAGGATGGCGGTTTGGGGCGAGGCAGGACGAGTTGAGCTTAAACTGTAAAATTTTTAAGCCGCCCGCTCTGCCCCCATCCCGCATAAAAATACTTTTTCGTTTTCGACCCGCCCTAGCTTCTCTCTCGCATAGACCTGCCCGCCCCACATAAGTTTTAAATATTTTCTTTTTCTAGTTAAGTTTGATAAAATAAAATTCATAAAAATAAATTTATTTTTATAGATTAATTGGGAAACATGTAAGAAATTGTATTCTTTTTATTATCATTTTTATTTACTATCTTGAATATTTTAATACCTTTAAAGAAGGGAAAATGGTCAAATATGTCCCTAAACTATTCGAAAAGGTCTAGATATACCCTTCGTTTAAAGTTCGGTTCCATCCAATTTTTGGTCAAAATATGCCCTTATGGACTTTAATTGCCATATTGAACATGTCCAACTCATTTTTCATTTCTTTAAATGCCACATGGAATTGTCATGTCATTTTTACCTTACACATAACATTTATATGAAAATGGAAAGATATTCGGACTAATAAACACCTAATTTGACCCATTAATCAACCCCCTTTTAAATAAATTATCCGACCAATTTTCAACAATTTTGTTTAATTTTTATTTTTTCGAGATAAAAAATATGAAAATATGAAAAAAGTATAAAATTAACGCCAAATATTTATAAATAATTATAGTAACCTTAAATTCAATTTAAACACTTTTTTAATTTTTTTTATTTTATTCGATAAATCCCGAAATGAGTAATTGATTTATAAAAAGTATGAAAAAATATAAAATTAATGTCAAAAATAAAAAAATAAATACAGTAACCTTAAATTCAACAATATCAATATTTTTTTAATTTTTAATTTTTTCGACAAATCCCAAAATGAGTTTATTAACAAAAAATATGAAAAAATATAAAAATTGCGCAAAAAATTCACAAATTAAAAATAGAAAAATATGAAAAAAATATAAAATAAAAAAAATGTTGAAATTATTAAATTTAAGCTTACTATATTTATTTGTGAATTTTGCCGTATACTTTTTATTTTGTTTTCATATTTTTTCCTTTTTATTAATAAATTAATCATTTTCGGGATTTGCCGAAAAATATAAAAATTTTAAAAATTTTGTAGATTGAAATGTTACTATATTTATTTGTGAACTTCTGGCGTTAATTTATATTTTTTTCATACTTTTCATATTTTTTATTAATTAATTACTCATTTTTTAGATTTATCAAAAAATAAAAAATTTTTAAAAAAATTGAAATGTTAGATTTAAGGTTACTATATTTATTTGCAAATTTTTACGTTAATTTTATATATTTTTCTTATTTTTTATTAATCAATTACTCATTTTCGGGATTTAACGCAATAATAAAAATTAAATAAAATTGTTAAAAATGGATCGGATAGTGAATTTAAAAAGAGCTGATTTATGGGTCGGATTAGGTGTTTATGAGTTCGAATATCTTTTCATTTTCATATAAATGTTATGTTATAAGGTCAAAATGACATGACAATTCCATGTGGCATTAAAAGAAATGAAAAATGAGTTTATATGTCCAACATGGCAACTAACGCCAATAAGGGCATATCTAGACCAAAAGTTGGACGGTGAGGGCATGAGTGAACCAAACTTTAAACGGAAGGTATATGTAGATCTTTTTGAATAGTTTAGGGCCATATTTGACCTTTTTTTCTTTAAAGAAAGTATCTTAATAATTAATGCACTATTACTCCTACAACATGTATAAAGTTAAAATTAAGTTTGAATCCACCTGAAATCACATATCCTCGCAATTCGCTCCGCCCACCCATTTCGTACAACCTTAAACACGCTTCGCTTTACATTGTCTTACACACACTCTGCCCCGTCCTGTTGTCATCCCTAGAATAGAGTGTGATAACATTTGTAGTCAATATCAAGTGCATAAATAAGTTAGGAGCGAAGAGGATTAGGAAATTAATGGGCATTCTCTCCGTAATTGGTTCTTATATATTCTTTTTAAACATGAAGTTAATAATCGTTGCCCCTTACCCTAGGAAAATAAGTAGTGTTCATATTGAGTTGGCTGTTGATTTAATTGTTATTAATGTTGTTTCGATTTTGCTCTATATATATAATCCTGAAAGGCAGATTTAACTTTGATTGGGAAAAATTAATAGTTACACCTAAACAAGCAAGATACCTAAAACTATAACATAATACGATATATATATATATATATATATATATATATATATATATATATATATATATAGTTCGACTAATTCAAATTCATTGTGTATGATCCATTTGAAGAAAACTCTCTCTATCAAGATTTTTTTTTTATATCTAAGACTCTCGATATCGAGATCCCAATTTATAAGAAAGGAGAAACCTCGTACAGCATACACCACATACTTTCACTATTAGAAAAATGTGAATTACATCCAAATTTTCTTGGAGATTATATATGAAAATCCACACATAAATTAGTTTCGTACGAATTTTCCTACAAAAAAAAATCTAATGAAAAAACTAGTATGGTTAAGTATTAGGGGAAGTTCTCGATTATAACAAACTATTAATTCAAAATAAATGTTATAGCTAGTTTCATTTAATTCTAATTCATAACAAACACTTAGCCATTTTCGCCTCTCTAGCTCTTTTGCCTAAATCTCGCATGCCAC